TTTTATTTATTTATTTGTCAGAGAGAGGCAGCAAGAGAGGGAACACAAGCAGGGGGAGTGGAGAGGGAGAAGCAGGCTTCCCGCGGAGCAGGGAGCCTGATGCGGGGCTCGATCCCAGGACCCTGGGATCATGACCTGAGCCGAAGGCAGATGCTTAACAACTGAGCCACCCAGGCGCCCCTCCAACTTTATATATATAATACTAGTCATGCAGGGAGACAGGTGCACTGTCAAAAGGTGTGATGTGACTCACTCATTCAAAACCATGATCCCCAACTAGGCACCCCTTCAGTAAAGAATATGAGGTCAAGAAAGTTTTCCAACTCTCCTGGGGAACTCTCCACAGTGTTTCCCAACGCCTTCTTTCTGAATTTTTTTTTTTTTGAAGATTTATTTATTTATTTTAGAGACTAAGTGAGGCAAATGTTAAGCCAGCTCTTGTAGGGCTGCTTAAGGGGAGAAAGGAGTACATTTCAGGTAAAAGGAATAATGGCACAAAATTACAGAGACTAGAATTCACAGCATATATGCCCGTGGAGGCATGTTTGTGTGTGTGAACGTTTGTCTGTGACAAGGGGCTGGTTATAAATTGGCTCAAAGAAAGTCTTATCTTGGGAGTCAGGGAGAGATAAAGAAGGTAGGAGTCTTTCTTCCTTAAACGACAGGCTACGGAAATGAGTTTGCTCTTATAGATAATAACCGCCCACTGTATTTTCTCTACTTCCTAGTTATGTGTTTTAGGTTTAAGCTAACCAGTGGAGGGAACCAGCAAAATTAAGAAAAGGAATTATGGCATGGTGAAGTATTTAATGATGATAGGATATAACATCTGGGATTTGCTTAAAAATATTCCAGGGAAAAAAAATTCCAGGAAAAAAGTAGAAGAAAGAGATAAAGCAAGAATAGTGAAATGTTGACCATTGCAGCTGGGTGATGATAGGTACCTAGGAATTCACTACATTAAATGTTTTATTTTTGTGTTCAATTATTTTCCCTGAAAAAGAAAAAAAAAAAGATCAAGTAACCATGGTAAAGGGGTGAGTGAGCATTTAGGTCAGGGCATAATTTGTTATAACCCGTAAAACAGTTATGTACTAGGGTGTGTGCTCCCAAAACGATGTCAAGAAGAGAAAGAACAGCAGTGAGTGACTTCTGAAGACAAGTAAGACAGAAATAGGGGGTGTTGGCAGTTATTATAAACGGTGTTGATATAAAAAAAAAAACAAAGAATAAACTGTCAGCAAACTCTGAATGGAACCAAACGGGTTGGTGCCTGCAGTCAAACCTACAGCATCAGAGTGAGTATCTGTCAGCTATCATGAAATACCTAGAAGGATAAGAATTGTTTTTCAAGTTAGAACTGGTTAAGGTGATCGCATTAATGTCTAGTTTTGACTGAGTGGTCAAAACAGATGCCAATTTGCACTGGAGCAGAGAAAGGAATTGTTGATGACATTTCCCATATGCTTACAGCAGTTTATGAAGGACTTAAAATACTCGGTGTAAACAAAAAAGAAGGCAGTGCTTGTCTATTATACTTTATTTAAAAAACATAACAAATTAGATTAAGAAATTATTAAGAAATTGGATTAAGAAATTTTGCTTTTAGTTCAAAATTTAAGTTTATGACTATGCCATCCTTATTTTTAGAGTTAACAAACCTATCTCATTACTTAAAGCTCAATCCACTAGATTAAATGAAAAGAATCTACAATGCTCCGAGTTTTATACAGAAATCAAAGTAAAAGAAAACCACTTACCATAAGTGATCAAGAGAAGGACAAAAGGAATGTTTCTAAATAGGTTCCTTATTGATTTCTTATAGGAGTATTCAGCAGGGGAACTTTTTTGAAGAACTGCTTGAGCCTGACTCGGTGGATACTGAGGTTTTTCTTTGAATGCTGGAAACACACATGGAAAGGTAATTAAATACATGGATCTTCCTTAGTGAGCAGACTAAATCAGTTCAAGCTTAAAGAGGTAGTGAAGGTCTTATAGTGAGTCTTTCATTTTCATGAATTTCTGAAGAATATCCTCTCAGTCCTCTGAAGCGGACTACAACTCAGAGATTTGGTCAATTCACATAACTGCAAAACCATCTCAATAATATGTCACAACCTTGCCCACTGATTAGTCCATTCTTAGTTAAGCAAGATTAATTTTTATTCTAGTAAGTATTCAACAATTCCATTTCTAAACTTAGTTCAACTTGTAATTACAGGTGACATCAGAGATGAGCAAACCGGGCTGTGTTACCTTTTAGAGGACGGTCCTGAGTTAGTAACTGTTTTCTTCTACGATTTGCTACAAAATTTATCATCTGATCTAATTAGATATGATTTCTAGAATTGAAAAGGTCCAGGTAAGATTCATGGGAGCAGAGCTCACCAAAACATCGATTAATTAGGATATACCGAAAACTTATCAAACTAAAACAGACTTCTATTTTTACAGGTGTCACAACTAATTCAAGAGGAGACATACTCATGAATATTTACTTTTGAATGTTCTTATATCAGAGGACTGATAGACACAAAATGTTTAAGTTGTTGCAATCCCTTCTCTTCGTTCACCCTATCTGCTCCTTGCACTGTTGAGGATGCCTGTTGTCCTTTCCTGAAAGTCTCTTTGGGTCCTAGTTAAGATAGGAGATATCTCTTTTTGTTAATAGTGGCAATACACAACTCACGCGATTGTAAAACAAAGTTTCAGAAAGTAAAAACCGTGCTTATAAGGTAATCATGGGGATTGAGTCTTCAGTCTCTTACTAGGTTCTTTTTTTTTTTTTTTTT